ACCAGCGCCATTCGTAAGGAACCGTTTTTTCTGTGGCGAGAAAACCCCTTGCATAGTGAACCGTGAAAACAGCCTTTTAAATATCTGGATAGGCATCTAGTCCTTGAGGCAAAGTTCCCTCTAAGATGCTCACTAATATTTTCAAAATTTGCGCAGCCGTTTCTGTATTCTGCGTACAAAGGGCTTCTTTACCATTTTTTATTTTTTTAATATTTATCTTAAAAGATCGTTCAGACATAGTAGATCTTGCCCCTAATAAAGAATATGAACAAAGACATGGACGATAATATAAAAATCCTTCCTTGTTTGTGTGTTATTAAAATGCTTTAAAATATAGTTTTCGAATATTTATTAAAAAAAAATGTTGACTTCAAACACTTGCACACTTTTGCGAACGTTTTGAACATTTTTGCTTCCATATACTTTTGTACCGTGCAGTCAGCGAAAAATAGAGGGAACATTGACTAGAAGCAGGGGAACGTGGGGAATATCGACTACTTAAGAAAATCTTATAATTTCTTGCATGCATATAGTACAAAAATATTCAAAAACATAGATTACTATCAAATATATTGTTGCATATAGAGGCTATAGCACATTTGTCGAAATTATGATATTTTTGGTAAAATCAAGTAAAACAAAAAACAAAAAGAATCGGATAAAATCGACCAGTCGGGTAAAATCGATCAAAGTAATGGATAAAATCGATCAATCGGATAATATCGATTAAGGTAACATATAAATGTTGAGTTAAATATATTAAACGTAAACATGACATTTTTGGCAAGAAACAGTAAGATGTTTAACAAAAACATTTGTCGCAAATATAATCTGACGCTTTTTCAGCGACAGTGTACTTAGAATGCGCCCATACTCCTCATGAACGACAGCGGCTGCCGACCCATAAAACCGTTCAGCCAGTCCTTCCCACATACTTTTTCTCTTTGTTAAATCGATGTATTATATTATTTAACTCAGCGTACTGGAATACCATCATACATATCGATTCAGCAGTCAATCCAAAAAATAACTTAGACATAGATAAAGTTGTAGAAGCAATTTCAGCTTCTTGTGTTTCTGAAAAGAACGGGGTTTCGGCCCATATTAATTTTTTAATCTCAAACCTTCCTCTCAGCCTGTCTTGTAATGTACCATAGGGTACTTGGTACATGCTAGCTGCGCCCCTAATTGAAATTGTGTTTCCTTGTATCTGCTTGATTGCGCTTTTCATAGTTTCTTCAATCCACGAAGAACGTTCGGTCTTTCTTATATACTTCCTGGGCATCTGAAAAAACGGGTATTTAGTTTCTTTTGCAATCCTAAGCAAGTAGTTTATTTCTGGTGCCATTTTATGGTTTATAAAGTAGAATATTGATGGGTGAAAAATAAAATGCAACAAACGAAAAATGTATGTCCACTTGAAAGTATAATATCGTCCATCGACGGGTAATATCAATCATTCTAGTCAATATTTCCCAAATTGTGAAGCTTAACAGTTCTTACCTTGTCCAAAATTGTAAAATTCTTATAAAAACGGGTATTAAAACTCGACGTTGTATCACTGAAACAAAGATCGCTACATGGACTTGACGGGATTCTTCGAGAGGAATTTTGAAGTGAGAGAAATGGCGCGTAGTTTTTGAGATTTGAATATGATCGATGTTGCCCCGCAGTCGATATTCTCCCACGCTCCCCTAGTTATTTGGTGTTGTAAAATCTTGCATCATGTCTACAATTGGAGTGTTTTAGGGAGTAATACATTACCTTAGAATTAATTTTAAGAGATCATATCATCTTTAATAATATTCTGGGTTTTATAATGTAATACGCAGTAAATACAACACAAATCTAATCTAGAATAAATAGAATTTTTTGTAGTAAAATATACATTACTAAAGATGCTTTTTTAGCTATTTAAAGTAATATTTTTGTTATAAGTTTGCTGTACAAAAGAAATAGTATATTACATTTTTCACACGAGTGGGAAATATTGTCGCACGAGGCATAAGCCGAGTGCGACTATCATACGATTGTGGAAAATTAATTTTCACAAAAGTGATGTACAATATTTTTCCTACGACCACAAAAGAATTTCATCAAAAAATGTAAAACCAGATTATTATTATAATAATTAAAATGTATTTAAAAAAAAAACAATCAACAATAATCGTATTTATTCAATTTTCATATTTTCTAAACAAAAAAAAAAATAAAAAAACAAAAAAAAATCTGTCCCCGCAAGGATTTGAACGCGGTCGCTTGCCAGGTCTCAAATGGTAAAAATGATAAAGTTTGATACTCTACCACCTAAGATAATAGGCCTTGCGTCAATTGAATGATCTAATCGGTTATGCGTTTAACCAGAATAAAAAACAACTTATTTTAAAAATAATTGTTAAAGATAAATATCTAGGATCTAATTTACAACAATTTCAATAATTTATCAATCATATCGATTTTAGTATTAATATGGACATGACATAGGTGAAAATAAAAATGATGTGTTTGACGTTTTGTAACAGCTGATGCGGAAAGTAGTATATTCGCACACGGGAGTAAAGTAAATTCTTATTCATACGCGTGTGATATAGGGCACAAAATAAAACGTCCTCAGCTAAAGCTGCCGGGCCCCGGGAATTAGTCCCCCCTACTCCCCCTCTCGATGAGCCCTGCTTAGCTAAATAATATGTTATCGTTAAATATTAGCAAAACTAGGTATATGACCTTCTCTCCCGCTACTCGAGATCAACCTTTCAATATTAAAAATATTAAATTACACACATGTCATTGTATCAATAAAGATAATTATTGCAATTGTCAATACACAGAACAAACAAACCCTATCAAATATCTTGGGATACTACTTGACCAACATTTAAAGAGAAACGATCGTATTAGTTATGTTAATAGACGATTACGACTTTTAATGTATAAATTCTATGAATTGCGCGACATTTTGTCTCAAAAAAATTTAATAATGTTATATACCTCATAGTGGAATCTATTATAAGATACTGTATCCCAGCATGGGTCGCAGCTTATAAAACAGCATTAAATAATTAACAAATTGCACATAATTTAATCCTTAAATAATATTTAGGAAAGATATGTTATTCAAAAGGAAAGACTTTTTAATTATTAAATTCAAAGCGCCTTCGCCTTCGGCTTGCCATCATCAGTGCTTATTGTCCACAAATAAGCATATCCACCAAGTTCTTAGTCATCCTCTCTTCGAAATTAAACATTTCTGGAGATTCATAACTTGCTAAATCATAATTATTACTATTAGTAATATTTTATAATTTAAATTGATTTATACATTCATTTTTATTAATATTGTTTAACCGACTGTTCCCATGTGACAGTGGTGACAAGCGACACTTAAAGACTTTGGGTGATGGACCTTTGTGCATTCTGTGTGACACACCTGGCTTCGCCTTAAATAAATATAGTAGTGTTAGGTTTAGCTGCTGTAGTACTCGTTCTCATGGCTTCCGTGGTACTCAGGCATGCTTGTCTTTAAATACTGTTGAGCTGTTGAATGACTCCAGCTCGCCGAGTCTTCGACCACAATACCGCACATCTTCATACAAGGAGAAACCAGGTCAGCTATTCGCAGGCTAATGCAGGGACAAAACTCAATAAGCCAACTACATAGCGCCAACCACACAAGGCTATATCAGCAAGTAAAAAGGAATTATATTCTAGCTATGCCCACTGATAGAGCCATAACCACATATAAATTTGAAAGAAATTTTTAAATTCAAATACCAGGGCCTAGAATCCTGGAAACAGGGACCTCTCGTACAGGTTGAATTCGTCTGGTACACAGACGGTTCAAAAACCAAGGAAGGAGCCGGTACTGAAATTTGTGGACCCAAGTCGAAAACAACGATTTCGCTGAGTCTAGAAAAATATGCAACAGTGTTCCAGGCTGAACTAATAGCCATACAACACTGTGCAAGAGAAATACTAAATCAGCAAGTATCAGACAAAACTATTGCCATATACTCTAAAGGCAATTCTCTCGCCAGAAATCAAATCACGACTGGTGAAAGACTATCCAGAAGACCTGACAGAGCTAAGTAGTCAAAACGAGGTGACCCTGGCCTGGGTACCAGGCCATGAGAAAGATCATATCAACGAAAAGGCCGACGAATTAGCCCGAGAAAGCTCAGATAAGGCCATGACAGGCCCCGAACTCTTCTGTGGTGTTGCTAAGGCATTGTGCAAGGCATCCATCAAACAATGGATGCAAAAAGAGTCTAAGGAATGGTGGAACAACTATCCAAGACTGAGACAGATCAAACAGTTGATCAAGGAATCATCGGCCAAGTTCACTGGATCAAATCATTAGGTTAACAGTAGGTCTTCTTACCAGACACTGTCGCCTTAAATGGCACATGAGTGTCATCAATCCAGCTGAAGAAGCACCTTTGTGCAGGTTTTGTGAAGAAAAAGAGGAAACATCATTCCACGTCCTATGCCAATATGAAGGCCTGGCTGGAATGAGGTTTCTAACATTGGGCGAAGAAAAGCCAAATACATGCAACTACATGCGGGAACCACTGCCAAAGTCTAATAAAAAAAAACCAAGCTAGACGACATACTCTAAAACAAACGGAGTCCCACAATAGATCTGAAAATGTCGCGGTGGACAAGGACAAATAACGTCCAACTCCCAATCTAATCTAATCTAATCTAATACCACCGACCCGTAGGTTATCATAAGTAATATGGCAAAAAAGAGATTAATTTGTTTAACTACGCCCTTTCGATTTAGAACATGGGATATTGCGATCCGCACCCAGTGACCTATCTTTCCATTTTTCTCTATTCAATAGCATTGTGTTTCTATATCATTCTCCTGGAGTCACAATAGAAAATTTAACATATTATATATTTGGTCATGTACCAATTTTAATTTCCAAAATCTGCTTTGATTATATTACTTTCGTAGATATTCAAAAATGTATATCACTTTTTTCCAATTTTTTCAGCTATAACACAGTCTCAACAGCTTCTCATGACCAACGGCAACGACTTAGAGGTAGCAGTACGTCGAGGTGATATTTATTCGATAATGATTCAGTATCAAGTGAAAACAAAAAACTTTTCCGAAGCCAAGCAATTATTTTTGGAACTGAGACAAGTTTTGGAACGAAGTAATAATACTCCAATTACGTATTATCTTAGTAAAGAAGTTATTCAAGCCTTAGCAGATGGTCTCGGAGTGCCTATCAATCATCTTGTTCCCAAGTCATCGAAAGTACCAGTGAGTGAACAAGATAACGAAGAAGATGTAGAAGAAGTTGCTGAAGAATATGCGAGATAAATGTAATAATTTTAGTTATTCTATAATTAAATTGAATCTAAGGTGTAATATGTAATAAAAGTTTAATGTTAAGTATTGTAACGTTTATTTATTTTAACAGTTTGTTTTTTAGATTATTTTCACCAAGAAATTTATTTGTACTAAATAAATACAACATGGTAAACTAAATTACATTGACAATATTTATTTGAAAAATTAGTCTATTTATATACAATCCCCAATCACTTACTATCTTATTATTATAAATAATTTATTCAACTTTAGCAGATGGTCTTTGAGTACCTAATAATCATCTTGTCTCCAAGTTATCGAAAGTACTAGTGAGTGAAAAAGATAACGAAGAAGATGTAGAGGAAGTTACTGAAGAGTAATAGTCTGCGAGATAAATGTAATAATGTGTTTTTCTACAATGAATTAGAACCTAAGGAGTAATAAATATTAAAAATATTTACCAAAGCGATTTATAGTACTATTTTGCAAAAAACGTCGATGAGTAATCCTTAGAATCTTAGTGAATGGTTACACTGGATGCGGATACGTGCGATTTTTTAGTCGTGCGATGTCGTAAGTCCGTTTGTGTGGTTACATTGTTTGCGATTCGTTTAATTATATACTAAATAGAATACACTAACGACTAGAAACATATTCTAATTTTCGATTAGAAAATAAAACTTTTTGCGTGCCAAGGGATCAAACTATTGCAAATAGAGATATTACCATTCCATATGTGCTCTTGGACGTGAAGCCTATCCTTCAAAAGTGTATTTAATGAGACCATATTCTGGTCGTAACTTCAGTGAACAAGAAGAGATTTATAATTATAGACTATCCCGAGCAAGGAGGATTGTTGAATGTGCATTTGACATACTATGTTCCAAATGGAGGATCCTCAAAAAATACATAGAATGCCATCCAGACATGATGATTTTGTTACAGAAAACATTTTTGATAGATTTGTGTTATAAATATTTAATTATTTAAATGGTGTAAATGCATATTTGTTTGAGTATTTCCATGTTTAAATATATGATGCGGCGTTAATTTACTGTAATAAAAAAAAATAAAATAAATTGCATTTTATTTCAAGTTTGAAATTAATGCAAAAATATAATGAAGTAAAATCAAATAAAGATATAAATTGGCAAAATATTTGACTAGTTTCAAAACAGTTAATATGGTTGTTTTATGATTTGAAACTAGTCAAATATTTTTCCAATTTTTTTGTTTTATTTGATTTTCTTCATTACATTTTTGCGCTACTACAAAGTCAAATTTCAAAAAGCCCGCTCGTGGCGGCCATATTGAATTTTAGTACCACTCCAATTTGATAGATGGTAGCACATCGACTCAGAATTTTACCATTGAGTTTCCCATCTATTCACATTAGTAATCTATGGGCGCAACTAACCTGTGCTTTAAAAAAATAATAACAACACTCCCTCGTCTGATAGGAGTTATTGATGAATTGCTATTTCTTAAAATCGATAAAAGGCGAAATTCCGGAAATAGATAATAATAGCGGCAACCCAAACAACCATTATTCAGTTACTAAGAAATGATATGGTCAGGTATTTGGGTGGCAGCAGAGACGGATTTAGTCTTAATACTATTACTTACTTTTTTTAAAAGCTTCTAAATTATTAATAAACAAATTTTAAAATATTTTTTACATAAACAAAGGGAGAAGGCAATGGAATAAATTTCGAGGCATAAAATCGGGGAATTTTAATGTAAAAAATAAAATAGGCTTCATTTTAATTCAGGATGCGATTAGAAGCAACAAAAATATTAACATATTATTGATTTCCCTTTAATGAATTTATTTACTCAAGGATGTATCAAAATCTTCTTTGCAGGTTATCAGGTTGTGTCTCATACACACCAGCGATTTTAAATATATGAAAACTTAATAAAAGTAGAGATCTTATATCTGCCCAAAATGAATCTGAATCGCACGACAAAACGTTTACGTAAATACACGCAAAGCAACAAAGCATCAACAGAGGTTTATGGACGTCCTTAGGGAAGATCATTATCAATCGTTGGTCTTCCACGCTAGAATTCTGGGATCTATTTGTAAACCATAGTTCTGGATGGTGCTTCATCCACAAATAACGAACTAATTTTTCCACACATTGCTGCAGTGTTAAACCGTATTGAAAATAAAAAATCATCAATTGAGTACTCAATTTCAAACAATTCTACGAGTCTAATCGAGAGACTGTATTGTGAGACTGGAGAGCGGCCCTTGGATATTTCAGGGAAATACTTAACTCTTTGCTACGCTGTAAAGATATCAACAAACCCAGAAAATTCTGTGTATCGTAATTTATTTGTTGTTAGATTTCAAGAACGACCGAATAAGTAGATATTTCTTAGAACTTCATCTATCGTTCCCGGAAACCTACAATATATATATCATTACTTAAAACATAAAAATTTAAATATTAACACTCATTCATTTAAAAAAATATTTCAACAATACCAGGATTATCAGCATATTTACACCGATTCCTCTGGTACTTCGATTGTAGTTGGCGAATCCTTTACAAACAATACTAACTACAGTTTGATATATAAACTTCCATAAACCACTCCAATGTATTCTGTAGAGCTGACAGCTATCCTACATTAACCAGAAAAATTTTGGTAACTGTCTAATAATATCTGGCTCACTAAAGATCCTTTAGAGCATTATTAAAGTTGTATACTAGTTATCCTGTACTTATAGATACATAGAGCACATAGTCCAAATATCAACATTCAATTTATTTAAGTGCCATCTTACATAGAAATTCAGGGCCATGAGAAAGCCGATAGTTTAGCTACAGAAGCAATTTCTAAAGCACAAGTTATTCACATTTTCACAGCATTGCACAGACTTAAAACCAACTTTTAAAAATGCCTGATGGATATTTAGAGACTCTTCAGACTTGGACACACACCAGCCACGCAGTTTTCTAATCTTACGTGACCAAGTGTCATTAACTAACTCACTCAGAGAGAGACATTTTATCAGCTTACTACCACCAAATAGATCTTATTAGCTAGGTAACAACCTCAAAAGTATTGGATTGTTAAATCGAATTTAGATTATATACTACTTACTGTAGATTAATATTTCCCATTTAATTTTATAAAAATATAATTAATATTGTTTTTTTAATATTGTTACGCCTATGCGCATTATATAGTATTATCAATAAGATGATGCTAATTAACCCTTTCCATTCCGCATATTTCTTTAAAATATAATTTATAGGAGCGATTCTTTGCATGAATAATAATAAAATATTTTCAAAACTCCTGTATATTAAAAATAAAAGTAAGTACATAAAGTTACTGTGAATACAAGTGATAAAATATGCAACAATTATTCTGATAACATAAAATATATATATTGATACTGAAATCGTAAAAATATCCCAAATTGTCTACTGAAAACATGAATCCATTACTGTACTAGTTCGCAAATGGGCGCTTGAATCTTAAATAGACAACAACTTACGACGAGATCGACTAGCTTTTCTGATAAAAAATAAAAACTAAAAGGAGACAAAAATATTTTTATTTTTCAAAAGTGTTAGCCCAGTAAAAGTTAACAATATTTTATCGATGAATATTTTTAACATAAATATATTTTACGATCAGTATTTTAAATAGTGCTGGGTCGCTTGGAAAAGTCCACTGACAAGTCCGGCGGACTAGTCTGAAAAGTTGACTAGTCCAAGCACACTTTTCAAAAGTAGAAAAGTGTATTGCGTATGCGCGAAATTAAATTAACTAATCTGTCTGAATTTCTTACAAAGGTAAAATACAATTTAAAAAAAATTGATGTGTCCAACACATGACTTTCCTATCTAGTTATTATAGGCTTTCCCTGTTTATTTTGTACAACCTCTGTAAATGTTTGGAGGATTAACTAAATATAATTATGTTTTACATACATCTTATTCAAAACAATTTTTTATAAAATTAAAATTTTTCACTTTTCCTAAAATTTTTCCATTGCGGTCCATTTTAGAGAAATCATGTATTATACAAAAATTATAGAGAATAATATTAAGAGTAACTTTTATTTAAAGAATTTTCTTCTCTAAATGTAAATAACAGACATATTCCATAAAATATAAAAATGAGTCCCTATAAAGTAACCCCCCAGTAGTTCCGAATTTGCTCAAAATCTAACCAGTTCACCGCAGGCCGGAATTAAGCTTAAGTTCAAAATTTGGAGTTTTTCTCACATACTTTCCTTATCTGTATACAGGTAGGAAAGTAAAAAAGAAAAAACGATAAATAACTATAATACTGACTTTAATATTTTACTTTTCGTTTCATTTCTTGTTAAAATAAAAACGTGAAAATATGACTATTTTACAAATTATTTGTCTCAAAGAAAATGCAAATATTCTTCCCTAAGTGTTGTTGAAAAAAACATCCAGGGTGGACAAACATAACTACAGTCTAACTATACTTACGCGGGTTTCGGATTAACAAAATTATGCAAATTAGTCGTTCGTTTGTGTGCACTGTCTTATGTTATGTTATGTTGGGAATGGGGTGTTAATACACTGCGACCTAAAAGATCTATTGTGCCCCCTTCTGTCGCCAATGCATTAAGGAAATGTCTCAATGCCTATAACGACCCTTCCAGTCCTATTTTCTCAAGGAAGTGTAGGATTCCAAGTGGCTTCAAGTTAGGTAAATCTCTCTCTTCTATTTGATATCCTCCTTGACAGGGTATGCCGAGGTCAGTCAATCTGCATAGAAGTTCGTCTACGGTTAGGCTCCACATTAGTGGAGATAGAACTCCTCCTTGTGGACATCATCTGGTTGTGCAGTTGGAGATGGTGGCCTGTCCTATCTGTGTCTCTGCAGTTCTCGTAAATAACAGCTGAACCATCCATTTGGATGTGATGTTATCACTCCTCTGTGTGCAAGTGCTCTTTTAACAGATTCATGTGGCGTGTTGTCAAAAGCCCCTTCCATGTCTAGGAAGACATACATGACCGTTTCTTTGTCTGTCAGTGCATCCTGGATTA